TCAGGGCCACCAAATAAATATTTTATGAAGAATCGAAAAAAATCAACTATTTTCTTTTGTAGTAATTTATCACAATATTTTGAATAAATGACATTTTTTTATTATTCTTATTTTATGCAACTAAACGACATTTACATCAATTCATTTGGAGAATGCACAAAATCATGCCACATATATAAACCCTAATCGATATTTTTCTAGACTTGTGCAGCTATTCAAAATGTATTACGTCACATGACTGTCTTTTCTTTATTTTTTTTGCATGACCTTCCTTATCGTTGCCGTTAATCATACGACCAGAAATTATTTGTGCAAAACAACAACAATTAAGAGAACAATATTGCTCATTTATAAAATTATATTTAAATATTCCATACACCGTATGGTTTTATTTCGTAGAGTTGTGCACTTCAGCCAAATTCCTATACATTTTGTGTAGCTGTCTGCATAGTGGCCATTTTGTTTTTATGTGCATATTAAGTTCAATAAAAATGGTATGATATTATTTTATATGAAATGTGACGTTATTCGCACATTGTTTGAAGAATGAAGAGAAAGGTTAGTATACTATTGAATTTCAAAATACAATTCAATGTTAAAATCGCATTTATTCTTTAATTGGTGAATTGGACCAAATGAACAAGACTATGCCTTCTGATTTTGCATTTATATTGAATATTGAAACGCTGTAGACCGAATCCGGTAAATATGTAATTTTTACATTGCATTTATTTTACGCAGAGTTTATATAGTATATTAATTATATAGATTATACAGTAGATTGGAATTGAAATCAAATACTTATTTTGAAAAATGTTCAAATTCAATTACTTTTGACACAGCCACGTCATCTCATATGAACTGACTGTGTAGTATTTAAATGTAACTCAACACTTTTTGAATAGAAATACTATTGCCGATGGAACTCATTCCTGACAATATCAGCTCAGCATAGTCGGGCAATCGATGCAAAATAATAATAAAATTCAAAATAAATTCATAGTTGCTTTCAATTTTGATTTTCATTTTCAGTTCAAGTACTAAGCCATATATTGTGCCATACCAAATGTACTGAGAGTATCGTTGGCTCTTTTTTTCGTTTTTATCCGCTTGAAATCAATCAATTTATTCTTTTTGCTCATATTCTATGAAATCTTCATCAACCATGAGATAAAAACACAAAGAATTTCTCGATTTTTATTTTTATTCACTTTAAAAACTTTCACAATGTTCCCATACAATGAGCGAATCGCTAATATTTTCCGTACAAAAGGTCTCACACATTTTGAGTAAAATTCAGAAAATAACACCATAAAACTATATGATTTATAAGCAGATGTGAGGATAAATGATAGATCTATTATTTATACGCGGAAATCATCAAATTCAAGTCAAAGAAAATAGAATTATTTTAATTCGAAAATAAATTTTGCTCAAATCGGAATAAAAATTTCTGTTCAAATGGTAATTGCGCCTCGTTCAAGATATCAATTTCAATATTTCTGTGTTTCTTTCATAAATTCATTCCTTCTAAATTGGACAAATGCGTAAAATCCACTTTTCATGGTAATTTCTTTAATAAAATTACGCAAAAATATGAAACGAGTTCATCACATCTACACTGCCGAAAATCGGTAGACAAGTGTTTTGTGATCGGTGCGTTCCGAAAGGAACGGTCCCAGTCAATGTACCAAGTGTGTCGTTTATTGTACGACTCATAAGTTTGTTTTCTCTGTACAACAAAGCGAATACCCAAGTAAATCGAAGTTAAAATGGCCGACTCAGCACCAGTAGTAGCAGCAGCTCCAGTAGCCGCATCACCAGCCGCCAAAAAACCAAAGGCACCAAAAGCCAAGAAACCAGCATCGAAACCAACCCATGCACCAACCGCCACTTTGGTCAACGACGCAATCAAAGCATTGAAAGAACGCGGTGGTTCATCGGTTCAGGCAATCAAAAAGTACATTGCTGCCAACAACAAGGTCGATGCCGAGAAATTGGCTCCATTCATCAAGAAATACTTGAAGGGTGCTGTCGTCAAGGGACAACTGATCCAAACCAAAGGCAAAGGCGCATCTGGTTCATTCAAATTGTCAGCCGCTGCTCTTAAGCCAAAGGTCGAGAAGAAGAAGCCAGTGAAGAAGGCTGTCAAACCGACGAAACCAAAGGCAGCAAAGAAACCAGCCGCCAAAAAAGACGGAGCCAAGAAGAAGCCAGTTGCAAAGAAAGCCGCTTCAGCCACCGCTAAAGTAGCAAAGAAAGCCGGTACACCAAAAGTGAAATCGGTCAAACCAAAGGTGAAGGCTCCATCAAAGCAAAAGGCAACCAAACCATCCAAATCGGCTGCCCCAAAGAAGCCAAAGACACCAAAACCGAAAACAGTCAAGAAACCAGTTGCAGCCAAAAAACCAAAGGTTGCCAAAGCACCAAAAGCTTAAATGACTTGTCATTTAACTTCAGTCGAAGATTCTTCAAATTATCAACTCGATATTCGAGAGAAAAAAACAGCCCTTATTAGGGCTACCACATAATTTCTTATAAAGAATTCGTAAAAAATCATTACACATTTTCTTTTACATAGTAATTCATTATTTTATTTATTGACATTATACAACTTCGCATAATAAAATGTGTAATTCAATTTGCGTAGAAGGCACCAATACAATATAAAGGTGGATTTTGTTTGGTTTCAATTTTGTAAAGATTTATGTCTTAAGTATGGAAAGTATGGCATATGAACAAGAGCAATATATTCACCATAATCGTTGACGTTCTTTCTCTTGACGACAAAAAGATCTTTTTTATTACCGTTTGGTTTGCGATAAATTGTGTAAATAACCTCTCTCGTACAATAAATGAGTCATCTGAGTTATAACTGCAATGGCACTCTTTTTGGTTTTCTGCTATATTTATTTCTCCATTAGATTAATATATTTAGCTGCAATTTCTTTTTATTTCTACCATGTTTTAAATTGAAAGCGAAAATGTTTTGATTGATTTAAAAATTTCTTTGATAATAATGATTTTGTTGGCCCTGAAAAGGGCCGTTTTTTGTAATTTGCTGTTGATGATCGGGATAAATTTAACCTCCGAAACCGTACAAAGTGCGGCCTTGACGTTTCAAAGCGTAGACGACATCCATAGCGGTGACTGTCTTGCGCTTGGCGTGTTCGGTGTATGTGACTGCATCTCGGATGACGTTTTCCAAGAAAACTTTCAAAACACCACGAGTTTCTTCGTAGATCAAGCCAGAAATACGCTTCACACCACCACGGCGAGCCAAACGACGGATGGCTGGTTTTGTGATACCTTGGATGTTATCACGCAACACTTTACGATGACGTTTTGCGCCACCTTTTCCCAATCCTTTTCCTCCTTTACCACGGCCAGTCATTTTTTTTGCTTCTTAGTATGTTCTTTATTGAACGAAAGTCAAAACTAAACTGATGCCTAACACAGAAACGGCACTCTATTTATATCATTCATGCGACACACATACCAACGCACACAACACGAAATACGTTTCCCCTTCGATCGAGCGGCACTTCTCCTGCGTGAAATAGTATAAATAGAATGGGCATATGGTGGTTTTGTATTCATTTTTGTTTGACTCTCTTTCAGAAAGCATCGAAAAGTAATAAGAAGAAGCAATGGCCCGTACAAAGCAAACCGCACGTAAATCGACTGGTGGAAAGGCACCACGTAAGCAGTTGGCAACCAAAGCTGCCCGTAAGAGCGCACCAGCCACCGGAGGTGTAAAGAAACCACATCGTTATCGTCCAGGAACAGTCGCTCTCCGTGAAATCCGTCGTTACCAGAAATCAACTGAATTGTTGATCCGCAAATTGCCATTCCAACGGTTGGTCCGTGAAATCGCTCAAGATTTCAAAAC